GACAGAGAAGGAGGTAAAAGAGAAGGAGAAAATGTGCGAAGGAGGGAAAGTGTGTAGGAGAGTTAAATTGCATTGGCATTGTAGCTGTCAGAGAGATAGTAGCAAACTAGTGTCAACTAAAGTGTTTGACTGAAACCAGATGGAGAAAGAAAAACTTTTCTGGAAACAAGTAAATAAAAAATATATCACATTAGATCACTGCATAATAAAGCACCCTTACTAATATTAGTTCCCATTACAATTTATTTGTCCAATTTGTGAAAAAACTGTCAATTAAATGTCTAAACCTCTCTAACATTTTTAGTTTCACTACTACAAATGAAAAATTATTCATTCTGAAGTGTAAGTTTGTATATTTCTAGATGTGTGTAGCACCTTCAACTCTACATATCAGAGGAGATGATTATCATTCAATAACATGTATTTTGCTCGGTTTCTCACAAAATTACTGCATCTTTTCAGAAGACTTTAGATATAGCATGTGAATTCTATTATGATACATTTATGGTGTTTTGTTTTCATTTTGGAGCTTGACAAATCCAGTCCCTTTCATTTTCATTATAATGAAAAGAGCTGTGCTTCTTCAAATTTCACAGAAGAATGAATGTCATACAGGTTTAGAAACAACACGAGGGAGTCAATAATGCCAGAATGTTCTTATTTTGGGTGCACTATCCCTTTACTGTAATGAGACACTGAATAACTGAGTCACTCTCTGAAATCTCTTTCTCTTTTTGTGAGTGTGTGTGTGTGTACATCTCGGTCTGCACTGATCTGAAGTGTTCTGTTTAGAGTCCTAAGGCAATTGGACTGTGAAGATTGCATCAGCCCTCAGACATGATATAATTCATAAAAATCTATTAAACGAGCAAGAAATAGGAGAGGTTGAACTGTAGATGCAGTGAATTTTGTCTCTGGCCACATTCACACAGCAGCACAATAACCACATCGCATAACTGAACTCAAACCTGTGGCCTAATGTGTGAACGGAATCATTCTGAACAACTGTCTGTCACGTTTTAGTGTAAGAGACGCTCTGTGCTGCACATACATGTCTAATGTGTTCCAGGTTTTAATGTTTGGTTTCTGTAACTTACAGAGCTGTGTCATCTGAAGGTTTAGATTCAGTCACATGTTGTCATCTGTTAATTATAATTTGGAACTTTTGTTGTGTCAGATGTGGTAAGACTGCCATTTTGGACATACAGTGGTGGCCAAAATTATTAGAACACTACTATTTTAAAATTAAATGAAATATTAAATTAAATGTATGCATTTAGCAGACACCTCTATCCAAAGCGACCTACAGGCTATACATTTTTTATCAGTATGTGTGTTCCCTGGGAATTGAACCCACGGCCTTTGCGCTGCTACCGCATTGCTCTACCACTGAGCCACAGGAACATTTTCAGCAGTTTAAAATGGTTTTAAGTCAGTTATCTTTTGCTGTAGCATGTCAGTAGGAAATATCAGTTTACATTTGGTTAGCTGGTGAAAATACTACTATTAAAATCATTTTGGCCACCACTGTAGTCATTTTTCATATTTACTTCAATTACTGTTGCTATGGTTGCTATGGTTACAGGTGATCGAATACGGGCTTGACTTCAGTTGCATATCTGAATATATGAATCTAATCCCAGACACTGATAGTGTAAACATACCCTATAATCAGAAGTCCAAAGAGACCCCAAAATTGTCATTATTCATTCACCCTCATGTTGTTCCAAACCTGTACGACTTTTTGGCCATGTACACACTCAACAGAGCCACCATGTTTTGTTTATTTTTGGAAGACTACTTTGCAGAGCATGTTTTTGAAGGGTTGCCATGTCCACTTATTATAAGCGATGCTTATTAAGCATCTCTGGGCTTTGTGTTAGGACTTGGTGATCCAGTTTATGGAGTTAATAAAGTGGAAAGGAGCAGGTCACTATATTTTCATATGTTGCTTATTTCCAAGATAATACATACAGTAAAGTAAAACATACAGTAGATATGGTATATTGTACGTATAGGTATGTCATCCCTCTTTTTCTAATGTTCTTTGCCATATAAACACTCAACCTGGTACAAAACTCTAAGTGTGTCTGCATCAGTATTGATTCCTCCTATCACAAGGGTTCACATCAGCTGTTGTATGGATGCTCTGTACACTCTCATGTGTGCTACAGTACTTCTGCAGAGAACAGGGAAAATTCACAGCATGTCAAGGGAAGTAGGCAGGATTGATCCACCCTGTACTCTTTTAAAATGTCAAATGCTCTTTCTCTTTCCCCCAGAGGCTCATTCTATTGGAGCTGTGAACCTGCAGTAACACCAGCATAGCCATGTTGTCACTCGTAATCACACACACACATGCACACACACATGCCCTGTACTTAAACAAAACACTTACACCCTGCCATGTGCTTGACTGACCTTGTCACTTGCACTCACGGTTGCTATTGGTAACAACAAAACAGCTTCTGATTGGGTGTTCATGGGCAACAGTATTTCTTCCTGCAATGTTCTTGATTTTTCCCTCTAGTCATAGGAAGAAAGTTGTGCTGGAAGATGTGGATGCAGAATGTGCCAAATATGCAGCATGAATTGATGGATGTGTAAAATATAAGTGTAAAATAGTGCATTTTTAGTGCAGAGCAGTAGGGAAGGCTCAGACATTCATGAAATTCAACACCAGATGATCTGCTCCTGCAGGGATGAAGGGTCATCATTAACCCATTTATAGGTTGACTGAGGTAAAGTGCAGTCAGCTAGAATAACCATGATGGATGTATACAGACACTCTCTCACACTCTATTCACTGAGCTTTCATTACACAAATTCATTCTAAAACAAGGCTGTTTAGCCAGAGAGCTTTGAGCATCAGCCTTCTAAAATGACAGAACATGACTTTAAACTATGGATTATTTGGGGAAATAGTGCTTTTTGGTTCTGTTTTGTATAGAGGTAATTATGAATGATTTGTTTGCAATTTTTTATCTCACATCTGAGGAAAAAAGGTCAGAATTAAGAGATATAAACAGAATTGTGAGATACAAACTCAGAATTATGGGGAAAAAGTCAAAATACAGAGTTTATATCTCGTAATTTAGATTTTTTTCCCCTCAAAATTCTGATTTTACATTTCAGCATTTCTGTTTAGTTTTTTTCGCCACAGAAAAAAAAGTAATTGCATCTTTTTATTGCACAATTCTGACTTTTTTTCCTTGTATTATATTTCACAATTCTGAACAAAAGTCTGAATTGTGAGGAAAAAAGTTAGACTTGTGAGATAAAAAGTCGCAATTTTTACTTTTTTTATTGTGTGGAATGAGATTACATAGTTTTGTACTGTTCTATTTAAAATTCTATAAATATCCTACACTGCTATTCCTTTCCATTCTATTCCATTCTACTAAAGATTATCTTCAAAATTCTATTCTATTTTATTTTGTTTCCATTCTTTTTCTACTCTGTTCTGCTAAATATTTTATTCTGCTAAAGATTCTATTCTATTGAAGATTCCATTCCGTTCATATAGAGAAGAACAGAATAGAATCGTATAGAAAAGTTATCCTACTCTATCGTGCCAAAATTTAATTATGTTGTTCTGTTGTTGTTCTGTTCTTGTTAAGTTTCTGTTCTATTGCACTATATTCTGCTAATGATTTTATTCAGTTCTGCTAAAAAACTATATATTATATTAAGATAATTATTCTATTTTAATCCATTAAAGATTATTTTATTGTGTTTGCGTTTCCAAACTATTCTAATGTATAGATTCAATCTATTATTCTCTGTAGTGAAGAATAGGTTTAATTTTATTAATGTTGTCCGATGCTACTTTGTTAAATATTCTATTGTATTCTGCAAAAGATTGTACTGTATTGTATTGCATTGTATTCTGTTCTACTCTAACTGAATCTTTAGCAGTTCCTTCAGGGTGGAAGGGTTATCTACTATTTATCTGCTGCTTTATTTATTTTTATTCACACAACCTCAGATAACACTAAGATAAGCTCAGAGCACATAAATACAAAATATTTGAGCCAGAGCTTTAGTGCTCTGTGGCCTGCTATAGTGGTCTAGAGAGACTGGTTTAAATTCTATACTGTGGCTCTAAATCCTCAATATCCTCTTTAAATTAACTTCATACTCCCCTGTGTATAGGAAGAGTATCTATCTGTGAGGACGATATAATGAATAGTGGAGAGATAGCGGGGTTCATCATGCAGTGCGCGGTGAGGTTCCGGCTCCCTGCACTCAGTGACAGCAGATAAACAGCCACTGCTTGGTTCCAGCATCTCCACGGGCCCCGTTGGCATGGAGACGAACCATGCAGTGCTTTTTCTGCTGACACAGTGCTATGGTACTCGAAAAACAGAGGAGATAAGAGGGATGAAAGAGAGAAATGAAGATCATTGCCAAACAAAGAACCCAGACTGCTCTTCAAAGAAAAAAAATTGACAAAAAGAAGATTTTTCCATAGGAGTTGAAAGGAGGTGTAAATGTGTGCTGAAGAAAGATTCCAGAGTGAGGTGTTGGAACTCCATTCTATTATTGGCGTATCTTACTGTTTGGCGCTATGATATACAGCTTGAAATATCAAAAGAGAAACAACAGACAAATAAGCAAACACTATCAATGTGAATACAGGTAAATTTGGACACTATCCAAAATGTTGCGTTGTTTTAAAATATGATCCCAAATGGCTCATGTCCCTAGAAATAATACCATTTTAAATAGCTAAATTTCTCCTCTACACCATACAAAGGAAAAATGAAGGAATATTAAAAACAAAGACTGTGCATTGAATATATTAAAAATGAAATAAATCATTTAATTTTATAAAATTTATATTTTAAATAAATATTTAAAAATGTTTAAAATATGTTGAATATAACGTTAAAAACTATCTTTGAAACATAATTTGTCCCATTTTACCTGTACTCACCATTTTAAACAAGCTTGTTTCCTTTTTTTCTTTGAGTTTGATGTTAATGCAGGTGTCTTACCCTTGCTGAGGGTTCCCGAGACAAGCCTCTGAAGGGACTGAATGAGCTTTAGTACCCCCTGTCTGCAGCGGCTGGTACAGCCAGCCATGATGAGAGAGAATCCACGGGTGCACAGACAGCCCCTACAACAGCCTAAACACTGCTTTCACCAGCGGTGCTCACAGACGAGACGTACTTCCCATAAGAGCCTCTCCGTGGCCTCCAGAGTGCTTCTCACGCCGCCACTCGCTCGTCCAGTCCCACAAGAGCTGTGCTTTTAACAATGGGTTCCAAGTCCAAGAATAAGAGCAGGATGCCCAGACAACACACACACACACACCTTTCATCCACTGTCCTCACACACACTCACTCACACACGCACAAACACACACAAGATGCTCACAAAGTGCCTGAGCCTGTTTTCCTCTGCCTCTGTACCAACCGTTTGAAGTATAAAAGGAGAGTTGCTGAAACAGCCGACTGCTGCTGCGAAAGTTAGAGGGGGAAAAGTTGGTGAGCGCTGCAGGCTCAAAGCTCAGAGACCGACCTGATGAATTATTAAGTGGATGGCAAGAGCCCGCTGCTGCGCTACAAGGACTAAGAACTGCTTGGAGGAAGTTGAGTGTCCATGGAGACAAAAGAGTGGCTTTCCTTTTTCTTGACGGTGCTTCTCCTTTAGTTCCTTTTATATGTCATACTATTATGTTAAAGGTTATATTCCATTAAACATTAAGGTTATATTCCATTAAACTGCTCTATTTTGCTAGATGCTATTTCATTAAGGTTTCTATTCTGTTCTGTTCTATTCTATTACCACATCCTATTCTATTCTATTCTATTCTTGTATTCTGCTACTTTGCATTATATTTTACTCTACATTGTTAGATTATATGATGTTAAAAACTCCATTCTATTCTGCTCTATTTTTTAGATTTTATTAACATTTCTATTCTATTCTATAATATTCTGTTAAAGGTTGTATTCTATTAAAACTGTCATTCTGCTCTATTCTGTTCTACAAAAAAATTATATTATGTTCTATTCCATTCTATTCTATTCTGTTAAAGATTACATTCCATTAAAAACTTGATTCTTCTGCTATATATTCTAGATTCTATTCTATTCTAAGCTATTTTCTGTGAATGTGCAAGACTCAGCACTTTGTCAACTAGAAGAATGACAAAGTGCAGAAAAAGTAAAACTGTTTGTAAAACTACTTTGTTAGATTATACTGTATTCTATTAAAAACTTCATTCTGTTATGCTCTATTTTTAGATTATATTAACATTTCTATTCTATTTCATTATATTCTACAGTATTCTGTTAAAGGATGTATTCTATTATAACTCTGTTCTTCTGTTCTATTCTATTCTATTCTATACTATATGCTACTCTATTCTGTTAAAGATTACATTCCATTAAAAATGTGATTCTTCTGCTATATTTTCTAGATTCTATTCTATTCTATTCTAAGCTATTTTCTGTAAATGTGAAAGACTTACGATTACTCAGCACTTTCTCAACCAGAAGAATGACAGTGCAGAAAAAAAGTTAAACTGTTTGTGCTACATACCACTGTGCTTATGATTATTTATGTAATAAATTAAATAGTATGAAAAAAAACAGTTTGGAGTATCAAGCAGCATAACAGACGGATTTTTGACCTAAATAGGCCTATTTTAATGTAAAATTTAGAAACTTGTAATAATGGTCAAAGACTCCCTCCCAAAAATATTAATATGACAAATGTAATGAAACATATAGATTCTTAATGTGAAAATATCGATACTGTATTGTTGGGTACAATATTGCTTGTTTGAAATATCATTGTTCCCACCCCTAAATTCCCACGCACAACCCATTTCAACTTCTCGCCCTCATTTATCATTCTTGCCCTGGCTGAGGGGAACCCAAAATAGGCAGACAGAAGAAGAGGAAAGTAAGAGAGAAAGAGGGAAGAGGTAATGAGAAGTGACAGCTGTGATAGATGGCAGGATGATGCTGGAGGAATGAGACGGATAAAGTTAAAAGGAAATATGAAGGAAAGATGCAACACAAAGAGATATGCAAAGATTTGGATGAGCCACTGTCTCTCTTCTCCTGAGAAAAATACCCCCATAATCTCACATTTGTCTCCAATAAGGTATCAGAAGAGATTTCAATAATGTCTCACACTGTGCTCAGATGTGCCAAGATACCAAAGTCTGCAGTCAAAGAAAGAGTTCTCAATATCAACTTTTCTTAAGTCCAAACAAACTGTGCATTGACATCCACATAATTTATATCTTTATACTTTGTCAACAACTATATAATTTTTTTCCTAAGGAATTTTAAAAGGCACATCTGGTTATACCACAATGAAATAGCTGAGAGCTTTGTGGAAACAACAACCTAAGAGAGATCAAATTTACCTTTAGGCATGAAGCGACATTTTTTTTATGTCATTTTAAATATAGCAGTAACATGATAATTGAATATATGTTTCTTTGTTTGAATTATTACTGCCAGTGGGAGGTTTGTAAAGGTTATGTTTAGCATGTTCCCAGAGTAGATGCTTCTTATTCTATTAGACATGCTCAGAAAAGCCCTTTTATGTCCTGCATTGCATATTGAAATATTTTTGGACTGTGTGGGTGGAAGTGCAAAGTGGATAGAAAGCAAGCAAGACAGAGTGAGAGTTTTGTTTTTATTGATTAGGAGATGTACATAACCGAAGTAATAGAATTTCAACAGTGTTCAGTGTCTAGATTTCCTTTTATATTTCAGCTCTGCTTCTGCAAGATTCTGAATCTTTTATAAGCATAGATGAAAATAAAACCATTTATTCTTGTTCCTAAAACAATAAAAAATGGTTTCTCACATAATTATGCAGAAATATGCACATATGCTGTGCAGTAAAATTCAGCGCTCACAATATGCGACAGACATCTGTAAAGCACTTCAGGTTGCTTGTGTTTGTGCAGCTTATGTTGTAAGAGAGCAGGAGGATTCACCCAAAGCAGGAGAATCAGCTCAGAACAGCTGCAGTGAGGTTCAGTCCTAGAAAGATGGGTTTCAGTTCTGCAGGTCTGACATCCCCAATTCTGTATGTCGATCACTTTGCAAGCTGCTGGATGCATTTGTTTTGGGTGCATTTAGTAGAACTGCATTTGAAGAGTCACAAATGATATATGCAGAAAAAAGCATATTGCGTATATGTAAATGTATGAATATGTGTTCTTGCATAAGTGTTTAATGCATGCTTATTTTATGCATATTGTGTTCTTTCTTCTTTATTTGAATACATATTGAATAGTCATACTGATATCTCGACCAGGACAATTAATCATAATTTAATAAAATTGCATATTAGATTAATATAGAGGAGAACAATATATAATGAAAAAATCCATCAGTTTAAAAAATAAAATAAATAAAAATAAATAATATTATTTTATATTTATTGTTTGGTATGAACTGCTTAGTGGCATGTGTTTGCATTAAATAATCATAGTAAAATGATATATGTAGAGAGAGAGAGAGAAAGAAAGAGAGAGATAAATACTTAATTTTATATTTAGTTTTGAACTGCTCAATCTCATATGTTTGCATGAAATAATAAATAAAATAAATAATAAGAATCATACAATATTAATAAACATATTTTAAATACAATTATACATAACTCTCAGACTGTATATATAAAAGATTATGTATGTTTATATACAGTAGAAACTGGCTCAGAAAAGGAACAAAACATCTGCTTCAGTTCACACTCTGTTCCAAACAGAGTTCCTTCAAGGACTGATGGTTTGCATACAGCTAGCGATCCTCCAGTGTGCCATTAAAAATGCCATCCCATCCCATCCCATCCCATCCCAATCTATCCCACAAAGTCTGAGCACCTCCCACAAAATATTCTTTGCAACACACCGACTCACAGCAGAGACTCTGTTGCCATTATATCACACTGTCTAAGCGCACCCATCTCAGGCTATTTTTACTGCTAACCATTTAATGAAGCTGCCACGGCTCACACTTACACAAACACACAGTCATACACGCACACACGCTTAGGGCAAGGAACTGCACTCGGCACCGTTGAATTAACCTTCAGACTTTTCTATAGCTCCCCTGCACCTGTTCAATCCCAATCTTCTAGACTGCTTACTTTTTGAAACTCTAATTAAAAAACTAAATCTGTCTGAATAAAACTCTTTAAAATACTTAGCAAGCTCACGCAAAAATCTACAAAAGTTATGATTTTGATTGACACAGGCTACCTGCCAAACATGTATCAACTGTGTGTGTGAACTGCAGTGAATTTGCTGTGCTCCAATTTAGATACAAGCAGTAGATACAGCAAAACCCATGAGATTACATGCAGATACAAAAGTCAACTTGTCTATTTTGTAGTTATTTATTTTAATAAGTTTATTTTCAGAAACAAAAACAGAAAATGAAGCATCATTCTAGTTCAAGAGTTTACACACATTTTTAATGGTCATTAGCAATGCTGCTTTTGGTAACTGGACTTTGCAGCTTCCCAGAATACCCTAGCAACTGGCAGTTTGTCTTTCTGTCTATTTGTCTGGGTGACTGTAAATCCTTCAAACCTCAAGCTTTTAAAATTATTTTAAAAACTGTCTGACAAGGCTTTGTCAAGTCAACAAAAATGTCAAATTGACTTTTAGTTTTAAGCATCAATATATTGTGCAAGACAAAGTTGTTCTATCTTGTTTTAAAAATGTTCTAAATAAAATGTTAGATATTTTTACTGGGAAAAAAAAGAATAAAAAATCTGACTACAAAAGTACTTTTTGCAGCGTTAACATACCAATGGCTTCTAATTTACTTCAGTTAGTTTATGGGAGAGTGAACAAGAGAGAAGGTTAATGATCTAGAGAGAGTTAATATGATAAAATGAGGTAGTGGTATGACATAAATGTAGTGTAATTTATGAAGAGAGATGATAATACATTAGGATATAATGATATACAGCAAGACTAATTTGCACTCACAAGCCAAAAGTATAAAGCTCTATGACACCTAATGGATTGCAGCCCACCACCCCTCCACTATCCTGCTACACCTGAAAATGCAGTCACTGTAAAGTAAGATACCACAGCCTCTATTTAGCGCAGTGTTATATGCGATAATGGACAGAGCATGTGTGATTTAAGTGCGTTTGATAGGTGACACATAGCAGGTGCCAGACAGTTGTGGCACTACATCTCAGAAGCAAACTGGAAGAAAGTTTCAAACTGACAGGAAGATATGCACCTAGCGAAATCTCAACAGAGCAATGAATCCATGTACTGTCAGCTAAGAATGCTATAGTGAAGGTTAGAAGCGTTCAAATTGCTTATTTTAGAACCATGATCTTTTTAACTAGTTTAGGCTATTAACATGCCTTTCAAATGATTTCATATGGCCACTTGTGTTCAGATTTTGTCAAGATGCCTGAATACTGTTAAATGAATAAACACGTTACGAGGCTTACAAGCGAGCGTAAAAGAAAGGAAGTGAATCTTCTTTTTAACAGATTTGGAGAAATTTAGCTTTACATCACATTCATCTTATTCAAGAGTCCAAACGGCTGATAAAAACATTACAATAATCCACATGACTGCAGTCCATCAGTTAATGTCTTGTGAGGTGAAAAGCTGTGTGTTTGTAAAAAACAAAT